CTGAAAATTTTATTGGAATCCTAGACTATGGAAGTGCATATAAAAATAGTAACAAATGTATGTATGCATTAACATCAGACGTAGATCAGGGTTTCCCAAACTATGTTTATAAATTTTCTTGTTTGTTTGTTATTACTTTCCCTACAAAATAAACAAAGAGTTCCGAGAAAATTTCAGGATTGTACAGATTACAATATAATTTTATCGATAGAATTTCGATCAAAAGGATCATTAAAGTTTGTAAATTGTTTTGATAATAACATCAAATATTTTTTTTACATAATTTAACTCGATTAGTATTTTCTTAAATATGGATAAACTGATGTTTAGAAAGAAGAGACGGTTGATAAATAGAGACAACCTAACCTTTTTAATTAAATAATTTTAATTACAAATATTTAAAAAAAAACTATACTAACGGAAGAAATTTTAAAATATTTATTTTCAAAATGTTATTACAAATATATTTTTGAAAATACAATTATTTATAATCGTAATAAAAGAAGCGAGAACAAGATATGCGATACAATCAAAGAAATTGTTACCCAATTTGAATTACTGGTTTAATTTAAATTTTCTAAAGTACAATTTATACAAAAGAACTTTTTGATTTTTGCACTCGCTTCAGTACAATGAAACCTCGCTTAATGAGCACAATGCGTTCCAAACTTTCTAGATTTTTATTCGTATAATGAAACAATTTTCCTCATATAAAGTAATGTAAAATACGATAATGCGTTTCATACTGAAAAAAGTAGAACTTGGTCTTACTCTTATTTGGAAATATGTGTGAACACAAACAACACTAAGATGCAACTGTAATGACTACTAACACCAAGACCTGTTTTCCAATTAACACATGAGAAGTGAGCTTATGCCTGACTCCATTTCTTTATATTACTTGTATCGATCCGGAGTACATAGTTTATTTATATACTATAATAATGGTTAGACATAATACTTTTTTGTTTTTCTTTTACAAACTCAAATTCTCTCTCTGTTATAAACAAAGATGACAAAAAAAAGGAACCATTTTCAAAAACTGCGCATAATATGTGTACAGTCCTATAACGCGGTACTCTCAGAACGCGTTTTCCATATAACGCGGAGTTGAAATTGCGACAGCCCTCCTATAACGCGATACTCTTACAGCGCGGTTTTCGTTCAACAGTATCCCATAAGTTCCTTCTGCGCAGCCTATGAATGACTCTAGTAACTAGATATTGTAAGAGATTTAAGGATTGGTTTTATAAATGTTTTATCTCGGCAGTGGAAACCTATACGATGAAAAAAAATTGTATTTCAAAATTTTATTGGTTCTTGGTAACACCGGTTGCCACAACATAGAACTGGATCATCTAAATGTGAAAATTGTCTTCCTTCCTTCCATTTAAACTTTAAAAACACACCCCAACTTTTCCAAACCATTTTCGACAGATTAGAAAACAATGAANNATTGCTTCTCGTTTAAGCGATGAAGAATTTGCAGTAAACCATCAGCATGTAAGAGAACTAGTACTCGGGGAAGAAACTATAGATGAGGAAGAACTGATGGAATTAATTGATGCACCCACCTCAAATGCATTGTTGAACTTCATTTCATTAAAACTGATCGTTCAACGGTGCGCAGCGCAAAGTTTTAAACAGAGTTAAGAAATTGCTTAGCTCCCTATATAGAAAGGTTTTAGTGGAGTTAGCAAAAAAAGCTACAATCGAAAACCAGTGTGAAGATGAACTAAGTGATGAAGACATTTTGCCCATTAAAAGAAGACCAGTTAGGCGACTCATATCTGACAGCGAGGATGAGTGTTGAAAGATTACATAATTTTATAAAAGTCTTCATTGTTTTTGTTGAAAAACAGTCTTTTAGTTTAGTTCTTGTTTTATCAATCCTTATATGAACTCTTCAATTCAATTCAATAAAAATAATTTATAATTTATCTTGTCTTTTGTATTTATTGGTCTCCATATAACGCGGTACGAATGATGTGATTTGTACTAATTCCGAGTTTCTTATAGCGCGGTTTCCATACAACGCGGTAGACGGTTCCCATAGAACACGCTACGAATTAGCCTGGTTTGTACGGTTAAATCCGTTTGCACTCACCGCGTTATAGGAGGGTTGACTGTATAGAAGTTTTGAAAATGTTGTATTCGGGACTTCTCATCGTTATGCGGATCATCCCTCGTTAAGGGAGTAATTTTTCTTACAATTTTTTTTTGCTTGTTAAGCGAAATGCTCTTTAAGCTAGGTTCCATTGTACATTGCGTAGATCCAACGAGACGTTTCATGTCATGTATATGTCATCTCTCCTATTTATTGCACATTTCTAGAAAATGCCGTGTTGTATAAAAAAAACTATGTCATATGATATCCAGAGCCAGTACAAATGTTTCCAGGTTCCGAAAAATTCTTAAAAACAAAATATACGACGATTTCCATCAAATTCTGATCGTGTTCGATCAAAATCGTGTTATTCGATAGATTCCTCAATAATTTACCTTATCGTGTTTGACGGAATCCGTGTTGTAGGATACACATTATTTATTCAAAAATTTGATGATTGTAAGTAAACAATATTATTCAATTTTATATAAGTTTCTATGAGTCAATCGACTTTAATTTTATTCAATCTGTGTTGATTATAATATGTAGCAAATCCACCAAGGCGTCGATGCAAATTCTGTAACTCTCTTCTACTACTTTGCTTTGATTTAAACTAATTGGTTATTTTTTATTTTAAAACTATTTTATTGCATAAATGATCCTGGCAGTAGTATTATTTAATTTAATTTATTGTATTGAGATTATATTTTGGTGATTTATTGTTGCAACAAATATTATTATTATTGACCGCAGTTATTCCGCCATGAATACATATGAAATGAGATTTATTAAATACATTTAAATTCCCGACATTACACATATTTATGAAATAAGAAAAACGAGAAATTTAAGTGTTTTTAATCTCTAAATTGTTTTCTTTGCATTGCATTTTGTGATAAGGCAACTTTAGAAATGTTTAGTTTACTTTCATGTATTTCTAATTGTACCAATACTGGAGTCAAAATGACACCTAAAAAAGGTACTGAATTAATGAATAATTTAATTTTAACAACTTTCGAATGCTGACAAAATACGTTTATTTATTTCTATCAGGTACTCAAAGAAGTTCGTACGATTTTTAATATAGATTGCCACGGATATTTTTTTAAGTTGTTGTTATATAATGTCTACTTTATTATTCACTATTTATCTCTCTTTCATACACTAAAATGTGTCGGCAACTGCTTAATTCATATTTAAAAAATAATTTAAAATGGAATGAATAAATCTTTAGTTTGTGATTGTTTACTCTATGAGTACAAACTCAAAAACAAAGCAGTTGAAACAAAGAGAAAATATGTACCGCATTTGGAGATCAAGCTGTAATAGCAAGGAGTGGTTCAAGAGATTTTCCTCGGGAAATTTCAGCTTGACCGACGAAACACGCTCATCATTAACAACGAGGTTATTAAAAAAGTTGTGGAGGTAAAGTACTTAGAGCTTGCAGAAATGTTCAATGTGAGTGATGAAACCATTCGTTTGCGCCTTTTTTTTTATATTTTAGTATAAAAAACCGCACTAACTTTTTTGGTTACCTGATATTATGAACATAAATAAATGAAATATTTACGTTAATTATAAAATTTCTTTCATTTATTTGTAACAACAATATTTTTTACATTTCAAATAGATTTTTGTTTTGTTTACAATAACTTCCATGATACTTTTTTCATTTCTTTGAATCTGAAATTAGTTCTTATTTGTAAATAATATAAGTCCTTATTGTATAAAGTGGTACAAGGTTATCCAGCCAACCAACAAATTAAAAAAATCAAATCATCATAATGGTAACTATCCACCGGGAAAGATTATCCATTTAATGTCAACCGGGATCTTAAATTTACTCAATGTTCACATTGAAAATTTGTGTGTTTTGTTTAAATTATGTGGACTTATACCACTTTCTAAAGTAACGACTCATAAGTCGTTTAACATATTATTGAACTCGGTACATATATTATGTATAATTTTGTGATGAAATGTTTGAATATTATTTCTTATTTTACAATAATATAAGATTATTCTATATGCGTTGAAATGTGCATTAATTGAAATAACAGATGTCACTATATTTAGATCCTTACAGTTAAATTTCTCTTGCATCCAATAAACACCACCATGCATGGATTCGTGCACGCACCTTCAACTCATTAAGGATTCTAAGTTGATGCAGCGGGATTACATTAATAATTGCGCTTAAAATTGGATCTGAAATTGGAATTACATCCAGAGGGCGAAGGTTGTGCGAGTTTGGGGGGGCTGTTATGGATTTGTTCGAAAGGGCGGATGTCGAGGGTTTCGGTTTTCCGTAATAATAATTGAATCGTTTTAGCAGGATGTGGGTAATTGGAAGCAAATCTTAGCGGCAAAGTTTAAATTGACGAAACGGAGGTTGAGCAAATATTTAAGTTTGCCCTTCCACCTCACACGTACTCTCACACACAGAGAAACCAACGAAAACTTCCGACAATCACGAAATATCCAACATAATCTAATTACTCGTCGGCTCTAATTACGTCGCCCCCCGGCAATCCAACCCCCGGAGGACACTTTAATCGAGTTGCGACGACTTCGCGACAAGAATATTGGATGCTATTATTATTGTTATTATTTGCTATTATTGTTGTTTTGCAATCGATTTTGGGGGTGGCGAAGTATAAAAATGTATGGTTGATGTATGCATTTACACACAGACACACAATTATTCACCATTGGATGAAGATTGCAGACACGAAAGCCGCAGAGCAAATTAGTGCACGCCACGTGGGGGGCGGCTTTGCAAACGACAGGATCCACCACCTCTGATGCGATGACCGCATCGCAGGAAAACCCATTCGCATTCTCTTTCCGCTGCAAATAAACTGACATTTCATTTTGTCCTTTTTGTTCGCAGTTTTCCGACAGGGCGACACCGGGAAATGCTGGTACGCGGTCATGGGTGGAACACTGGAAGTCAGGGTCCTCCAGCAGGACTCCGAAACCAAGGTGAGCATTGATTTTTTCAAAAAGGCAATTTCATTGTCAAGTTAAAATCCTTTATTTATTATGCGAACTGCTCTATTTCAAAGCCTTCTTATCCGTATTCACATATACATTGGATTCTTTTTATATGGACTTTGTTTCGAGCTCACACGATTTGTATCGAAATTTATAATATATTAATTAATTAAAATTTTATAATTTATTTATTGAAATACTTATTAAATAATTTATTCAAAAAAATGTATTGAATTATATTTGATTACCCGAATTTCCTTGCTTTCTAAAAACTATTTAGAACATATTTCAAAACATCCAATTTTTGACATTGAAAATGCAATTATTACTAATTATATTACAGTAGTACACATTACAGTGTTATCACTATCAAATCAAATTCCACTAATTAATTTGTTACGGTTTGAAAATTTCAGAAGAATCTAAATTTTAATTGAACAACAAATTGTAAAAATAATCTTTTTGTTTCCATAAATGATCTATTTTTTTTTCATTTATAAAATTATATCTCCTTTCGTGTGGTTTATTTGAGTTCCTTAATTAGTCCGGTTTGAAACAGTCTGAGAATTGAAACAGATTCTTCTAATATGTGAAATGCGGCGCCGTAACAAAAGCGCTAATTAACAAAAACTCGCAGAAAATAAAGCGCGCAGTAAAAAATCGACGTGTAAATGCACCAAACTTGTTTTACTGCGCGATTTTGTTACTGTGCGCTTTTGTCCTTCGAGCTTTTGTTACTGCGTTTTCTCGCGCTGTTGTCGCGTCTCCGTAAAATGCAATTTCATTTTTGAAATTTTTTTATCCTCTATAGAGAAAATACTTTTGTCTCATTTAGTGAATTATTTGGTGGATTTATTATATCATCAAATATGACACAAATATTTAAAATCATCTAATATGCGACAAATATGTAAAATGCAATATTATTTTTGAAATTTTTCTTAAAACTATTACAGAAATAATATATTCTTTCCCATATAATATTAAAACCAAATTGACTATTTTTTATGTTCATGTAAGGATTTTGTAAGGTTAGCGATTGGCATCAACAGACTTAGATAACGCATTTTAATAAACAGTACAACATAAAAACTGAATTGCATAATTTTCAACTTCATAAAAATAGGAACAGCTGTGCTTCCACTTGTACCAACTTAAATAATTTATCTTATTTTTTTGATCTACTATCTACAGATTACGGCATTACGTTTAATATGGATATTTCAACAAGTTACCTCTCGTAATGTTGATGCACCGCTACAACATTAAAACTGAATTGCGTAATTTTTTGTTACTTCGTGGTTTTGTCTTTGATTCTGCTTGTTTTTGCTGCTGCGCTTATGTCATGGCGACCCACTACATTATTAGCCACCATTGCATAATCTTCAACTTCATAAAAGTAGGAACAGCTGTGCACCCACTTATACCAACTTAAATAATGTATGTCACTATGTCTATTTACTACCAATGGAATAAATAAATTCGGTTGTATTACTTACTTTATGTTTTGTGCATCCACATATTTCAAAAGATTGTAGTGTTGTTGCAGTATAACATTAAAACTGAATTGCGTAATCATAAATCATTTATGTCACTATTTTGATTTTTCTTCTTTGCTATATGCGTTCCGGCATTACGTTGAAAACGGATATTTAAAATGGAATTGAGTAATCTTAAACTCGTCGTTTCTGTAACGCAAACAATGCATTTAGCTTTTGCTAATTCCTTGATGACATCCTCGTGAGTAATTCAAGATCCTGAAACCTTCCGTATTTTACCGTAAACTAAGTGCAAATATCTGGCATCCTCTTGCAATGAGAGTAAGTGCACTTACTTCGCCACTAGTTAAGCACTCGGGTGGATGCGCCGGTGATTAATCAAGGTTGAGAAATTATCTGCTTTCCGCAGGCGTAGCTAACAAAAAAATAATAAATTTTGCTGAGTACTGAAATGAAAGAGAGAAAATAAAACAATCGACCATCGCATAATTACCATGGAGAACAAAGTTTGTTGGCGGATCGATAGTCTACGCTCTAGACATTGAACGAAAATAGAAATTTCGCGAAACGCAATAATTAATTCCTCGCCTTTCGGTGTTGCTAACTTTGTAATCTCGTTCACCTCCTGCACATCAAAGGCTCTGAATTTATTTATTATTTTTTATATTCATTTTCTTCTTCATCGTAATCATGGAAATAATTTCAATAGAGTCTAATGGCTTTAATTACCAACAGTTTTTTTTATTTCAATTTTTTTCATCTTTATGATAATTAGTTTTTTAAGCGATAATCGTTTTTTTACATTTCCATTTATTTACGTAATTAAGGAAATCATTTCAATAGAGTTTAATGGATTTAATTACCAACATTTTTTTTAGTATCAATTTTTATTTTCTTTTTTTTGATCTTCACCAAAAAGAAGCTTTATGAAAATTAGTATTAATTTCCATATAGTTTAATTATTCAATATTTTCTAGTTTCAATTTTTTCTTTCTTTCTGTTTGTGAAAATTAGATTCTTTTTAGTTAAAATGTTTTACCCAATCTTTGGAATTAATTTCAATAAATATTGTTGAGTCTAATTTCTTGTATCAAATTGTCTTTCTTCTTTTTGGTGTAAATTATTTTACTTAAAGATGAAAATTAGAATTTACACGTAATCTCCTATAGGATTAACTTAAATACAGTCTGAATTATTAATATTTTCTTGTTTCATACATTTTTCTTGTCTGTAAAAATTTAATTTTTTTCTTCTTTTTGTTTTGAAAATATAAAAATTGGATCAATCAGATTAATTATGGATTTATTATTTCCTAACTAATTAGAATAGAGTTTAATTAACTTTTTTTTGTATATAATTCTTCTTTCATCTATTTTCTCATAATTAATTTCAATAGTCTAATTAGCAATATTTTCTTAATTTCCTTGAAGGGATGAAAATTGGAAAATTCACATAATGAAATCTAATGAAAATAAGTTTCCTATTTTGTTTTTAAATCATTTTTCCTTGTTGATGAAAATAATTTTTTCATATAATTTTGTAATTAATTTCAATTGAGTTTAATGTATTAAATTATCAATATTTTCTTGTTTTATTTTTCGTTTAGTTAGTGAAAATGAAGTTTTTTTTGAAGGTGAAAATTGTAAATTTCATTTATTTCCAATTTATTCTTTACTATGTAAATTTTAATAGTGTTTAAAGGTTATGTGTTTATAGCGAAAATGAGTTTATTGAAATTTTCGCCTAAACTAACCATTAATTTTCTAATTATTTTTTTTTCTATTCAATTATGGAATTTAATAACCAAAATATTAGTAATTTTCATGAATGTAATTTTCATGAATGTATTAAGTATTAGAATTTATTATTTATGAATTTTCTGATTCTTTTCATTGTAATTGTTGAAAATTAAATTAGAATTTGTCTTTTGCTACGTTATTATTAGTTCATTTCAATACAGTTTAATGGATTTAATTAAAAACATTTTGTTGCTTTATTTATTATTTTCAAATTCATAAAATTGAGGGTTTTTGAAGGTGAACATTGGAATTTTCAAGCAATCCACATACATAAATTATATCTTAAATATTTCTAGTAATTTCCATCAGAACACTATATTATTAATTTGTAATTAGTTATAATGATATGAAAAGAAGAAAACTACAGAAAATTTTACGGTTATACAAATATTTGTACGTTTGTTTGGACAGTGAGATGTACGTATTATCGAACTTGTCAAAAATATAAAAATAACTAATGGCATACAAATAAGAAAATTTAAGAATAAATTTTAAGTAGAAAGTACAATGGTACGTTTCTATGCACGTATGGATAGAGAAATGTACATATTATCGAACTTATAGTAAAAGTTAAGCAACACATAAGAAGTAATATTTAATGGTGAAAATTGGAATTTGCACGTAATCTATTGAATTAATTTCCATTTTAACATTTACTATGATAATTTCAATAGTGATTAGCAAATAGCAAAATATTTTTAACTTCATTACAGTTGAGAATAGGAAATTATCACGCAAATTCCTAATTGTTGTTTTTTTTTACATAATTATGGAATTTATTTCATTTGGATTTAAGTAGCAAAATATTGTTATTTTTTTAAGGTAATTTGACTTAATTTTAATTAATTATTAGAATTTATTTTCCAATACTTTTTTGTTTCATTTTGTTGTCGTAATTGTTGAAAATTAGTTTATTTTAAAGGTGAATCATGAATTTTCATATTGAATGATAATTTATCTTTTTCCAGCAAATTATGTAATTAATTTCAATGAATTGTAATGGATTTATTTACCAAAACTTCCTTGTTTTATTTATTTTCTATTCGGCCAATATGTGTTTTTTTGAAGGTGAAAATTGTAATTTTCAAGCATTCTATTGTATTAATTGCCAATTTAACTTTTACTATACTAATTTCAATATAAAACTATATTATGCATGTGTTTCCTTTTTGGGTCGATAATGAGTTTTCTTGAAGCTGAAAATTAAAAAAGTCACGCAAAATATTCATTAATTTCATATTTGTTTTTTCTACTTCACTATGGAATTAATTTCAATAGAGTCGAAAGGATTTAATTACTAAAATTTTCTTAACTTTATTAAATTTTAAAATTGAAAAATATCACCAAAACTATATATTAAATTCCTAATAGTTGTTTTTTTCGTGGATTTATTATGGAATTTATTTCAATTGGATTTAATTACCAAAGTATTGTCAATATTTTGAAGGTAATTATAATTAAGTATTACAATATATGTTCCAACTCTTCCTTGTTTCATTTTGTTGTTGTATTTGGTCAAAATTAGCTTGATTTGTAGATGAATAATGAATTTTCACGTATTATCACGTATTTCATCATATGAAATGATAATTTATCTTTTTCCAGCGTATTATGTAATTAATTTTAATGAACTGTAATGGATTTACTTATCAAAACTTTTCTATTTTATTTATTTGGTCTAATCCGTAAA